GTCTTTTCCCACAGTTCTTTGGGGCATATAGTCCAGAATGACAATTGCAATATTTAATGGAAATGTAAAATGCAATAAATGTTTTTAAAATATAACATCTCATATACATCTTCAATAGATAATGGATAGATTAGAGATAGATATAGAGATATAGAGACCTATTGTGTGTGTGTATATATAGATATAATTTTCTTGAGAATAAAAATTTCTAAGGCCTTTCCAATGAACTTCAATATCTATGAACCAAAATTTAATACTCAATTAAGTTAGTGCAAAAAAGTATCATCAGTAGACTAAAAGAGTAGAAATGCTTAACTCACAGGATCACTGCTGTACAAAGGGTCACAACATTTTTCAAGCGTGTACAGATATTTAACATTATCCTTGGCTTCGTTAGCTGCGTCAGTGATTCGAATATCTGTCTCCCGCCAAGCCTAAGCACAATACAGGGAAAAGCAATTTTAATGCAGTTACTAATAAAGGAACCTCCAACATAACAGCTGCCAGGAGTCACCACAAGTCCACTGAGCCTGACTTTCAGTTTGTTCTGTGCATTTTGCATAAAACTGAATCCAGAGGGGTGAGGGATACTGCTACGCTGAAGAGCAATTTAAAACTTTTGACTAAACTTTCAAAAGCATCTTTTCCAGGCCTTCCCTTTTAAGATCTATCCCATGACCAGCACAGAGCACCAAGAGGGCAGCGCCTCCATTTAAGCTCATACCTTTTCCCCTCACTGGCTACTGGACCCATTTTGCACTTCACTCCCATATTTTCTATATTTCCTCCATTGTAACCTGAACTTCCTTTCCTATATCCCTATACTTTTATTTATCCATTAAATGTAGTAATTACTATCTGCCAACCATATGCTGGGACTTGTGCTATGAGCTAGGAACTTTAAAATAAAAAGATAATCTAAAATCAGAAGAAGCAAAAGGAGATTATTTAGCACAAGTCAATACATTCAATTGGCTTCGTGGAAGTTCTACTGATAATATTTCTGAACTGTATTGCAAGGCCCACCTCTCCTATTTCTTTGAGCAATAATATAAGGTGAATCCAGAGCACATTTATTGAAACAAATTATTATTATTTAAATTACGTGCATGGACCAAAATACGCAAATAACTAATAGCATCCATGCAAATAGCTCATAGAGTCTTTACGGCACAATGTCAGAAGAGTTGGGCAGCCTCATGATGGTCCCCAGTGATCACTGTCTCCTTGTGTTTGTGCTCTTGTGTCATCCCTTCTCCTTGATCCTGGCTGAATCTAGAGACTTGCTTCCAATAAATAGAACATGACAAAAGTGATGGGATGTCACTTCCAGAATTAGTTTACATAAAGACTGTGGCTTCTGTACAGGGTGTTCTCTTCCTCTCTCTCACTTGCTTCCTTTAAGGGAAGCCAGCTGCCAAGTCAGAAGCTGCCCAGTGGGAAGGCCCAGGTGGCAAGGAACTGAAGGAAGCCTCCAGCCAACAGCCAGCAAGGAACTGAATCCTGCAACAGCCACATGAGCGAACCTGGAAGCAGCTGTTCCCCCAGTTGAGCCTTCAGATGAGTCCACATCACAACTGTAACCTCCTAAGAGACCTTGAGTCAGAGGCACCCAGCTAAACTGCACCCCAGATTTCTGACCCACAGACTGTGAGATAAAAACATGTGTTGTTTTAAGCTGCTAAGTTTTGGGGTGCTGTTTTACAATATAAAACTAATATAC